CAAAAAAGGCTTGGACTCAATTGGATTTTGCTTTGTCATCTTTGGGTTGGGCCTGACATCAGTAGCCCATTTGCTGGTACAGTAACTTCATATTGAGATTACTGTAATATATTCTGCTTGTGGTTGCTCTTGAAAATGCAAGGTGATACAGAATGTAGAAACCAGGTTATTGAGTGAGCCACTCAGTCATGTTAGCCATTTGTTGAAGGAAGTGCACTGGATATCCATTTGTTGCAAAACCAGATTCAGAATTTTGGATGTTGTATGAAGCCCTGAACATTTAAAAACCAGGATTTAATCTGATTACTTAATTGAGATCATCAAGTGAGGTGCTGCAATATGTACTGAATGCTGCTGTGAATGCAGGTGACTGCTTGCAAGTGGCTTCTACCTTTAGCAGCACTCATATTTTGGAATGCGTTCTCCTGCACTTTGGGAAACACTTTTAGATGCCTGACAAAAATTTGTTTCTTCATCCTTCCCAGCACAGAAGAATTAATTAAATATAGTGATTGATTGAGGAAACTGACATGCTGCAAAACAATACCGTTCTGTTAGGGGGAAAAAAGGAACAAAGGTAAAGTGGAATGGCAGGCAAATAAGACTTCTGTGTTGGAGTTGCAAAACTGCAGGAATTCTGACACCAGATGTTCAATAAATAGCAGCAACAAGCTATATTGAATCTCTTTGCAACTATTTAGTGTCATCTTGACTTCAGGAGCCAAGGCATGGTAACCTTTTAGAAAGCAATTTGGATAGAATGCAATAGCTTCACCAATTCGCCTCCTAAAAATAATGTGGCTTTTTAATAGCTCATTTTGGCAGCCATTTTATGAAAAAGCAAACTCCCCACATGGTAAAGTAACTGTTTTCTGAGAATGCCTACAACTCTTAATTCATATTTCAGATAAATTCATCAGTCCAGAAAAAATACTAAAATCCAGACTTACTGAGCTAGATGGATATAAATCTAAAGTGAAAGCCCCACACTAAAGACTTCCTCCAGTCTCATTTTATTTTTAATACTTTTTATTTGCCTGCTCAGTGTTGGAGATTTAAGATGCCAAATATCAGTCCTAGAAAAAGGAAGAGTTGGGCAAGAGACCTCATTAGTCATCCTGATTCTGGGCTTCTTGTGTATTTGCAAAGAGAGCACACACAGTTGCTTGGAAACAACAATCAACTATATCAATTATGGTGAACAAAGCTTGAAGCTCTCTGGATACTGCTCTTTTTAGCATCATATGGCTAACTTATTTCTTGGATTATCCCAGCTGTTAGCTTTGTGTTATTAAAAACCATAAAAATGAAGCAGAGATAGGAAACATATACCCTAGAAGAAATTCCTTTGTGGCAAATATCAGAAGAATCGACCAAGCTGTGCCAGGAAATGTAGAGAACATCACTGTGGCCAACAGATTTGAAAGTCTACTGTACATTCCATTATCAAAAAATAAGAGACTTAACAAAGTATGCAAACTACTGTACAATATTTTTAATTTCACCTGCTAGTTAAGAATTATATTAAACAGATAAAACTAATACAAGAACCTAATATAAAAATATATATTTTTAAAAAGGAAAAATAAATATTAAAAAGTGTAGAAACAAATCCCTTGCAAAAAGAAAAAGAAGATGTAAGCAACAGATGTTTCACCCTTCAACCCCAAAAAGTATATTCCAACTTTAACAATTTATCACTCTCTCTTAAAATGCAAACAAATACACCTTCATTCCATATCTCACTCCATTCTCCAGTGTGCTGAGCAGAGAATCCAAGGAGTGGGTTAACTCTGCTCTTCTGCTTGCAGAAGACGACCAGAATTAACCTGTGCTGGTCAGACAGTATATGGTTAATTGGGAATTGGGAGCTGTCCCCTTAAGGGAATGCCTCATGGTAAATGTAGTTAATGCATCATGGGAAATGTAATTCATGTCATGTGATCACATCTGTAATCCTGATTGATCACTGAATTGACCCTTGGTTGGGTTGGGGGAGTTTCCTTTATTCTTGCTTGGACCCCAGCTTCGTGCTGGTGTCTTTTCCTTTGCTCCATCAGTATGGGATGAAGATAACTATCTTTTCACACTATGAAGATGACTATGCAAAGATTGGACATTAGATGAATCTCAACATAACTGTGAGTTATACCTTGAGTATGTCTATTACAATCCAATAAAGAAGCTTTGTATGGAAGCCTTTGTAGAGTTTATCTAACAGTCTTTATATTCAACCAGAAAGTTAAGTTAAAGACAGAACATAACCCATTCCTTAGATTCTTTCTCAGCACACTAAGAAGGAGTGTATCAGAGTGTAAGACCAGTGCCCCCTTTCCATAATCTCATCTCTAAATGTTTAGTTTTCCTTTTTAATCAGCAAAAGTTCATAAAAACAAAAAAAATACCTAACAATGTACGTATATAATCCCCCTTTCCATTTAATCTAAATCTCCCTCAGGCCTCTCTTTCATTAATGCCATTAACAAATATTATAAAAATTTAAAACTAATAAACATTACCAGAAATAATAGCCCCTTATTAACATATCATAAATATGTAGATATTGCAGACCAAAACAGAGGCAGTTTGGTATAGTGATTAAGACACCAGGCTAAAACCAAGAAACTCTTGAGTTTTAGTCCCCATTAAAAACCAGCTGTGACCTTCGGGCAGTGATCTTGAATAGTCACTCTCTCTCAATCCAACGCACCTCACAAGATTGTTGTGGGGAAAATAGGAGGAAGGTGTGTTGCGTTGTTTGTAAAAACAATAAAAGTGGACAAAAATTGATAAATAAAAATCAACCCAGTTGGCAAAAATACTTATCCAATCAAGATAACTATTAAGCATCATCAGAGAAAGCAACTTATTTCACCACAATAAAAAATGTATTTTTTTCTTTTTCCTTACAGTGATTGTTTAAGTTCTAACTCCTATTTTCTTCTACTGTTTTTATCTCTTCTCAAAATTCTTGTCATCTTTATTCAAATCTATTTGTAATTTCCATGTAGAAATTGTAACTTCAGTATCTCTCTTATATTCTGATTTAAAAGGATAATCCACATGGATCTTTTGATATATTATTTGTATGTCTTTTATATTTTTTAAATGGTCATCCTATTCCATTTTAAAATCCAATATTTCCATCTCTTTCCTCTAGGTTGTTAATCCGCCTTAAAGTTTATTTTTATCTTCAGAGGGATTTGTTCCTCTTTCATAATAACAGTTGGTTCCTATATAGAGTTAAAATGCTCAAGCATTTCTTGAATTCACAGATCTGTTTCCTTTAAAGTAGCCATTGGGTGTCTTCTAATGAGCAACCTTTAAAGACTTGTTATCAGTTTGAAATGCAAATACTATTTCCCACATGGGACTATCTTTCTAATTAACTTCAAAGTTCTTTAAATCAATTTCATCCAAAACTTTCAAGACTTTCCCAAAATAACACTATAATCACCTTTTTGCTGCATTTGGGGTGGGGGGAGATTTTTACAAAGCTGGAAACATGTAATTCACCCAATGGATTGAAGACCTGATTACGTCTGCCACCTATGAGCAGATGTAGATATAGATTTTGAATGGTTAAGTACAATGAAATACAGCTTTAAAATGTAATGGAATCAACATGTGGATGTTTCATAGTCTTCCAGTAAAAAAAAAATCAACTAGTTTAAATCGGCATCAAGCTTGTATAATGTTAGAGCCTCCATTGCTTTGTTTCCTATTTGATGGAACAAAAACTGAAATGGAGCAAAAGATATATCATGAAAGCAGTAACAGAGAGTTGATTGCCAGTTGTCCCAAAATAAACACTTTGCAAACAAGATTGAAGGCAATTAATACTACTAAGTCGTGGATAACCTTGAGTATAACTGCTTACAAAGCTACCATTACAGAAATTTTCATTAATGAATTCATGGGATGGTTTTTGCAAAGTACCATCACTTAATGCAGGGAAAGAGAACTAGAAACTCCAATGTCTCACAAGGTCCTTGAACTCATTTTTGCAGCTGCATAAACAACAATATTTCTTTCTCAAAGTTCTCACAGGATACTAAAGAAAACAATTTTTGGTTCTGTATCTTGGCTCTCTTCCTTTTGCATAATCAAGTTCCCATCACTGTTGTCCCATTGCCCCCAATATTTAGCTCAGGCCATTAAGCTGTTGCCTATTTCTGATTTAAAAATTTCTAAAAGAGTCAGCAACATGTTTGTATCTAGCAAAAACTGATTTACTAATCAGATTTACTAACTAATTTTACTACTGTAGTTTTAAAACTGAAGAATAATTATAAAAATAATGTGAATTTCATTTGTCAATAATAAATTAACTTTATTGAAATGTATTGAAGATGCTTTCTGGACTTTTACTTTATGTTCCTGCTGTAATCCTAAATTTATACAAACTAGAAGTAGTTCAAAGGATGAAATAGAGGAAAAACTAAGCAAGGCAAAATTGTTAATTTCTTAGCTCTGTTGATCTTAAATCAACTTGTAAACATTTTCACAACAATAAAATAAGTGAAATTTTATAAGGCATGTCAAATTTTTCAACTTTCAATTTCCAAACGTTAAGGGTTCTTAAAAGTTGTAACGTACCTTGGGGAGTGTAAAGATAACATTTTGTTTGTTTCATATAATTACTCTTTTCATTTCCCTTAGCTGTTACTAAACATATAATACTTAACCTTGAATATTAAGAAAGTTAAATTGCATTACACTATTGCTATTTTTGTGTAATGCAGTCTTACAGAAAATATGAGGCAGGGGGTATCTAAGTAGTTGTCTGATTTAAATATTTAGCATCTTCTTCCAGAAATATCATCTTATGTTTATGATTCAGCCAGACATCTCTGCGAAAAGAGGAAGAAGTTACTATTTCTAGAGGCTTCAACATAGCCTCTAACTATTTAAGAATCATAGTCTATAGTTTAAAATATTCTATTTTAATTTGGGATAATTTCAGTTTGAAATCTTCAGTTTGTTTGTTTTGCTTTTAGGAGGAGTACTTTGCTGTTCAGCAGTGAATCCCATCGATTTCAGCAAACATGGAAGAATTGCAAGATGTCCAGTTAACAGAAATTAAACCTCTCTTAAATAATAAGGTAAAGAAAGTTGCATTTGAGAACGAGAAAAACTCTTTAACAATTTTGTACTTATATGCCAACTATGTGTAGGAGGAATATATATTATAGTTTTCTCCTGTGGATGTAGAATTTAATTCACTTGAGTAGGTCCATTGAAAAGACTTGAAAGATCCCATTTTTAATGTAGAAGTTCAATTCTTGCTCCCCTGAAACAAATTCTAGGTTTTGGATTTCATGGAACAAACTCTTCATTTTTGTTTTGCTCACGGAAGTGCCATATATATTGATTTCAAATAGTCTTGTGGCCTTTCAAAGCAAACAGATGTATTATAGTTAAGCTTTTGTTGATTGAAATCTACTTGAAAACATCAAAGGCATAATCATTGCTATAAAAATGTTTATAAACGTTCAGAGATATTTTTAGTGAAATTTTCAAAGGTGTGGGGGGGGGACTCCAGTGGACAGGAGACTGTAGGGCTTTATTGTCCACATAGTGCATCTTTATTATTTTACAAATATCTCAAGGCAGTGAATATATCCAACACATCTTCCTTCTGTTTTCCCACAACAAACAATCCTGTGAGGTGGGTTGAATTTAGAGAGAATGACTGCCTCAAAGTGATACGGATGATTTTTTTTTAATGCCTAGAAGAGCTCTTGAACTCGCAGTCTCTTGCATTCTAGGCCCGTGTTCTAACCACTAGACCAAACTTGTCTCTCATGACCTTTCAATTGGTAGCAGAATATATTGTGCAATGATCTTGGAATATATTTATACAAAATATTGATTTCTATTTTGCATTATGCAGAGTTTCAGATACATGGATATCCCAAAATAAAGGCTTTTATTTTGTTTTTATTTTATGCCATTTATTAGATTAACTGCTCTTTATAGAGAGCATAGAAGGAATGTTACCTAAGTAAACAAATTAGAAGGTACTGTTTTATCTTTATGATGAAGTTTCTTTAGCTCAAAAATGAAAATTAGTACACTTTCAAGGGGTATGTCCATGTATATAAATTTTATCTGTGTGTGAATAATATTTTTTTAAAAAAATCTGTAGGGAAATGTAGTGTAACAGCCAAAAGGGATGGGATGGTTTTGTGTGTACAACTTAATCCCACACATGCGCAAATGGCCTTTCACACACTCACTTGCCACTTGCATGGCCTACTCTCAATGAGCTGCGAACCTGTACTGGTTCATGGATTGTGATTTGGGGACCTCTACGTTATAAGGTAACATTCCAATGATAATTCTTGGAAACATTTTATATGCAAAGCAACCATCATTCAGCAGTAGTCCCACTGTTGTAACGTATGCATACTTTTATCCTATATAATATTGATGTCCTTCAGAATACAATTGAAGATAACAACTTGAGTTTATGGCCAATAACTTTATCTTAAAATTTGGAAGCATTTGTTCCTTGAGAATATCCATTTTGATGTTAGAAATCCTGGCATTTCCATCATGATATGGAATAGATTGATTTCTAGGATAGAAGGCTGGTGGGGTGGGAGAATTGTTACTATTTTGCACTTGTTTATTGCAATTTAATACAGGAAGCTTCGGCTCAGTACTATACTTTAGTTGTAACTGAGGTGTTGGAATAAGCTTTTCAAACAGGTGTAAAGCAGAATTTATGGTTTGTTGATCAATGGCCATTCTTATATTGACAGAATTCGACTCGAAACTTCCAGGACTTTGACTGTCAAGTAAGTACTCATACTGGAGTGTTTCTGCTTTGTCAGTCTTTTCTATTTTTATGATAAATTTTTGAGATGAAATTGAGAAAACAGTAAGCCATTGCTTCCCATATACTGTACTCATTTTTGGTTATTTGCATGTTGGGGAAAAATGTGTCTGTCTGCCACTAAGCTACAACTTAGTCTGGTTTGGAGATGATTGTTTCCCATAAACTTATGAACCAAAATGAGGGTTACATTGCTACAGTTGTGTAAAATGTTTCTCAGATGAAAATATACATTTCTGTTAAGGCTGTTTTCCCACACCTCAGTATGGCCATGGTAAACAAGGCACATTAAAATGCATATGATTATAATGCATAAATTTGTTCAGGTTTGATGATCTTATTAAGGAATACAAAATAGTTTACAGTAGTTGGGAACAATCTCTTCTTCACCTTATTTTGTAATCCCGGTATTGCTTCTTTAGGCAAACTTATAGCTATTAAATTAATTATGGATCTTAATATTGTTTGCCTGACATTGATAAACTGAACTTCTGTCTGGAATCTGCAATATCTGTTACACTTATATGGACTGATTACTTTATGAAATGCATTAACAATGTTCTAATTTATTTACAAAATTCTGTGATATTAAAGGATAATATGACAACTCTAATTATAGAAAGACGTGCAAAGAAATATGTCTATATCCTAATTGCCACGGAACTCAGTTATTTTAAGTTTCAGAAGATTTACTAGCTGTTGTTTTGGAATCCAAGGGCTTGTTATGCTCTGACATCTTCTGTTCTGCTAATACACCTAGTAATTTTTTTGAAGCTGTAGAATAGAGATTGTCTAATAGATCTTGTCAAGGTGAATGAGCATTAAGATGTTCTCCCCTTCTTCAATCCGAAAGAAAAATCTTTATTGCAGTCAAAGACCAGTGCATAATGAAACCCAATGGTATAAAACAGGTTAGAAATATACTGTATAAAAAAGAGAAAATCACAAAATTAACTGGGTTTATCACTTTGTTGGCTATGAGGGAAGTATGTCGAGGACCAGGAAGGGTACACAGGGATTTATTTATTTTATTTATTTATTAATTTTGTCAAACAATTATAAGATAACAGGTATAAGTCTAAACATGGTATGAATACATGAAAAGGATACAAAAAAACCCCAATAGGACAGGGACGGTAGGCACGTTGGTGCACTTATGCATGCCCCCTACAGACCTCTTAAGGAAAGGGGTGAGGTCAGTCGTAGACAGTCTAAGGTTAAAGTTTTTGGGGTTTGGGGAAGAAACCACAGAGTCAGGTAGAGTATTCCAGACATTGACCACTCTGTTGCTGAAGTTGTATTTCCTGCAATCAAGTTTGATCCGGTTTGTATCTATTGTGTGCTTGAGTTTGTATCTATTGTGTGCTCTTGTATTGTTGTGGTGGAAGCTGAAGTATTCATTGATAGGTAGGACATTGCAATGTATAATTTTATGTACTATACTTAGATCGAACTGAAGGTGGCATAATTCTAGGTTGCCTAGATCTAAAATTTCAAGTTTGGTGGCATAAGGTATTCTGCTACGAGTAGAGGAGTGGAGAACTCTTCTTGTGAAATATTTCTGGACTTTCTCAATTGTATTAATATCAGATATATAATCCGGGTTCCAGACTGATGAGCTGTATTCAAGTATTGGTCTAGCAAATGTTTAGTTTGCTCTAGTTAGTAGAGTGATATTACCAGAGAAAAAGCTGTGCAGGATTAAGTTTATAACTCTCAATGCCTTTTTGGCTATGTAGTAGTTACAGTGGGCTCTAGCACTTAGATCATTTGAGATGAGTACACCAAGGTCCTTGGCAAAGTTTGGGTCATCAACAAGGTCTTGACTATTCAGCTTGTATTTTATTTTCTGATTTTTTTTGCCAATATGTAAGACAGAACATTTATTTGTTGAGATTTGAAGTTGCCATTTGTTTGACCATTCTGACACATAGTCAAGATCTTTTTGAAGGGTAGCAGTATTATCACGTGCTGATTCAACTCTACTCTGGCATATTTTGAGTTGTTGGTGTCATTGTGTACATAATTGGCTTACATTTCACAAAGTAATCATTTTAGATTTACACTTTCATCTATTTATACAGAATACCATAGTAACTAGCATTGCTTGCATAGACAGTTGCTGTTCTATTAATAATTTTGCTCTGTGTGAGTTTGAATAATTTAATTTACTGTGCTAGTTTATATATGAACAACTAGCTTAGTATGATTTTTACTTCACAACATAGTTTTGGATTTGGACTGTTTATTCAGAATCTAAGTAAAAGAGTAAAGCTACGTGTTAGATGGAATCTTGTTCCTGTTTGTCAGGATTTTTCAAATCTTAACAACATTATAGGTGAGAAGGACTTCTATGTGGTTGTTGCTCTGTTCAGACAGAAAGCATTTAGAAAGTTAGTGATCATATGCAGCAAAAAAGTGTCCATTGTATGGAAGTATTGTAGTTTGAAAATATTTCAAAAGTATTCC